TCTTAATGTGATTTTCCGTCTGATCGTATTTACTTCGTAGGTGATTTTCTTGTTCAACTCGTTTGCGCATGCAAATAAGATGAAGTGGAGAATCGCCTCGGACAAGATCAAATCCTGCAGCCACTCAGGAAACGCACAGACCACCGCGTCATTTAAAGCCGGCGCCAGGCATGCAGATGGCCCAGCACTCATCGACGTCAATTCCACCCAGAGTGACAGAAGTTCAGCGGATCACGGCCCATACGTCGACTATCAAGAAATTAGGGCACAAACGCGCAATTATCTGCGATAAGAAAGCCGTTAATTGGCATCCGTGTGCAAGAGCATAGTGCCTGCATCGTATAAATACTCCAACTTCCAGTGTATGAACTACCCGTTTCTGCTATTTTATCTGATGACGCATCAGCGACGGATTTCGAAACCTCCGACAAACAGACTTCCTGTCCCATCGATCACATATGCTTCTCCTCATTTTAAGTCTGCCTATTAATTGTCGGTGATGTTTATCTCCCTCCATTGCTAGCCCCTATGCGATTGCTGGTGGGGCTAGAAAGTGAACGGGACGAGTGTGTCCCACAACCGATTCCTGAGCACTCATTCGGCCATTACTTTGAAAATGTTTCTGTAAGCATGCAGAACATATTGCGAGAGGAACTAAACGTCCAATAAATATCCGCAAAAAGTTTGGTATACACACCACCTGAGGTTGAATATTGCTGGCTGATGACGGTCAATAAGCCACAAAAGACCATTCCTGCCTTCCTGACATTTTTCAATAATGTTCTACGCTATAAGTGGTTATTGTATTCAAATTTTATTATATACTGGCAGGGAAATGTATGCTGCTTTATATTTGACCACTTACCTGTAGAACAAGCACTTGTTTCGGTTGGCTTGTGGGAGAACTAAACCATCTCCAACAATTTCATGCAAATTTTAAGGAAAAAATGATAACTTGCTGAACGCAGTGTACCTGCTAATGCTGTGTAAATCGAAGAGTCACTCATCGGCCCGGTAACTTTGTGAAACATTTTTTTGTGTGTGAAATGTCAATTAGCGAAATTCAGAGGAGTTATCTTTGTCATAACCTGCCACATCCAAAACAATAAAACAGACACAGGAATAAATAATTCATTGTCTATTGTCTATTCCTAACACAGCACTTTTTTCTTATTTGTCGGACAGTGTCTGAACTAATTTTAATTTTTCAATGCACATTTTTGAACTTTTTAATCTTTGCTGCGGTGTTTTTAATCACAACGTAACCAGCAGCAGTAGTCCAGCAGAGATTGTGCGCCACTTGTCCAAAGCAGGAAATTGCTTATGCACGCACAATCATTTCAAAAGCAACCCAATGGTAAGACGGTAATAAACACATCTTGAACATCGACCTCAGATTTTTCACGTTCTGAATATTCGAAAAAGAATGAAAGAAATGAGGCCTAATTTCAAGATAAACGTTCTGGCATGTTCACCAACTAATGTCTGCCCGTTGTCGCTAGAAAATAAGTGTTGGAAAAATATTACAGCATGCCAGATAATGGAAAATATGAGGTGATGATTTGAAAAGCTAAGCTCCAAATAGAGGACATTCTCACCAAACTGAATGTAATCTTTTGCTTTGACATTTCCTAGAAGTTTATTCGAGCACAGCCTAGGTTGTGTCCTCGATATTTGTTACATGTCTCACAATATATAGCGAGACCCAAAACTACGTGACCTTTTAAAATTTCGAGTTTTTTTATACTTACCTTTACAGCAATAAGGCTAACGCATTTCTAAACCTCGTTGATTGCTGATTAATTGGTAAGCAAATTCTGTACACAGTTTTTACTCTAGAGTCCAGTAGTACAGATGCAATAGAAAACTACAAAATTGTAAAAAAACGGGGTCTGGTGGCACGAAGCTCAGAGGACAGAGCTTAAGTTATAGGTATCATGGAGGTTAAGGTGAAGCGAGTTGGGGTTGGTAAAGCTCTAGGCATATTTATCAGAACTGTCAACAATTCGTGAGCACAGTACAAGCGGACAAGTAGCCTCACAAAGCAGAAGTAGTCTGAAAGACCAAATATTTTGAGTAGCGTTGAAAAGATTGCCATTGCAAAATCCCTTAATAGACCAAGGTAAAACACAAAGAAACTCACAAGAAATGAATGCTAAAAGCGTGAAGGGGTCCACGTCCACTATGCACCGCAAAGTGCATGACAGTCTAAGTGTTACTTCTTAATAAGTGTTACTGCCCATCACAGAAAGAAAAACCATAGACTGACAGATCGAAGATTAGATGACCATCTTCTATGGTGGTGAGGAGGTGGAATGCAAACGATTGGAGACAAGTTGTCTTCTCCTATGAATCGCCGTATGAACTGTTCCATTTGCCAAACACAAAAAATACGTTTTTGGTCTCAAAGTCATAAGATGTTAGCGAATGTTGAATTTCCAAAGTTGAGCCCTATAATAATGGTTCGGTGAGCAGTGTTCTTTGGAGGGCTCTCTGTACTCCAGAATTTACTGCAGGGTCAATGAGTCGAAGGTGGATATTAGAGTGGAAAATGGAGATCGTAAGGCAAAGCCTATTTAATAGATTGGAAAATAATCTTGCGATGATGTCAAAATGAGGAAATAAACTTGTTGCGGACATTTCAAGAACACCTTTTATGCAGGACAGGTCCACGGCTTATACAGCTCTGGGGACCCAGAGAAAATTCCAGAGTTGTGCAGGAAAGACATGCGGCTAGGAAGTAGTTCCAACTTGAATACAACTAAAAATTGATTATCAATTCTTGGTGATAGGGCTGACGCTAAACTGTCCACTACTACTATTTTTGCTGCATTGAAGAATTCCACGCTGGATGCCTGGAAAAAGGCCCCTATGTAGACCATCCAGAATCTTGATTATTCGATGCCAAGCAGTATAGAAGTTGGCCTAAAGATCAAAGGAGAATTTCCTGTAAAGTAAATTGTGAAATATGTAACTTACTTTGGGAACTGGGACTGTGTTCTTAGGATGCAAAGAATTTCCGGACACCCCATATCACTGAAAATGCTTCTTGTCCTAACATTGCTAGTGCAACTAATCGAAATTCTACAAAAATAACACAATAGTTGCCAGAAAAACGACCCCTTAATAATCAATTCCGGCCGTTTTGAGGTAGATAATTTGTCGATGGTTCGGCAATAACAATATACCAGGTCTGTACTGAAAGCTAAAAGATATTTCGCTCGTTAATGAACACCGAAATGCTACCTAAGCTAGTGGATAGAAAACAATGAAATGACGAATCAGTCTTTTTTTCAGTACAATAAGCCCTAATGGAGTCTCGACCAATCATTATTTACGGAGGGGCATGCACTTATCGGACGGCGTTCTCTGATTGGACAGCAAAATCCCTCTGCAGCAGGAAGCCGGGCCAGTCACACAGAGTCTTCAAACTCCTATAAATGCGCACGTGGGAGCTTCAGAGAAGTTGCTCTCTCCTTGTCTGCACGACCTCCAAGCCACTCAAACAATGTCCTGCTGACCACGGTGGAGCTTCGCAGCCCGCATAGTCGTCACGCCCATATGCGAGCAGGGATTCTCTGGCCTCTCTCTGCCTTGGAGCTGAATATCCTCCTAGTGCTTTCTGTTGCCTCTAGCAGTTCGGCTATCCAACGCATGTCCGCGGTTAACTGTCAACTCCTGGGCGATTCCGTCTGCAGCAGCCTCTTCGGCAACAGCTACTGCGACCGCAGAAAGGGGGAATGCCAGTGTGCCACCAACTTCCTCCTCATTTCTGACGGCAACGATAAGCTGGCCTGCAATGAGGGTAAGTAGAAGTCCGGCACATTTTCGGACCACCCGATGAGCTCTTGACAGTAGTGGGCGAGTTTTTGTTGTGACTTTTAACAACCAGAGATGTCATAAGGTATACAATCCTTAAAGGCTGTCGATCTGTAGTGCGCATATTGTCATTTACCAATAACATGAATCAGGTATTCAAAATAATTCACTTGCAATTCCGTCAAAGTGACAAGACTGCCGCTTTTATTTGCATTGGACTAGAACCTACGCTCATAGGAAACCTTCTGGGACACAGGTAAGTAAAAATGAAGCCTCGACATGCATATATTATCAGTGGGTTATATTTCTGAAGGTCTAAGATACGTGATGGGAGAGAGAGAGGGTTAGAGATACGTTTTTTTGAAAATATAATTTCAACCGTTTCAACAAAAACGTCCTCTATTCACTCTGAATAAAATAAGGTGCAGAAGCCACAGAGCACCGGGGAATCTCAAGTAATGCCTAATGGTCAAAGACTGCACTTGTCGACATCGTTGAGGAATGTTTTGAATATGTTTCAAAACGTAGGCTAAATGTAACTTCCTTCAAACCAGCCCTTGCGTTGTGCGCTGATGACCTCATTGATGTAGTGCAACTAAATACTAAGTGGTAAAAATCGGTTTCTAGTAGGCGTACTGTGCCAGCTGATGTATGTATGAGAAAACGTACACGCGAACGGAGGGTAGAAAACAAATCGTGTCTTACTTTGAAAAGCCCGCGCAAAAATTATAAACCGCTGTCGTCCCTTTGAGTTTAGATACACCTCTGAATAGTGAATTATATCTCAGATCCTATGGTCGTGTATATCCCCTTGCAGTAGGCGTGGGTAGAAATATGTGGCAGTCTGGGACGCTTAAAACTCCAGTAAAAATGGTACATGTTACTGTCGCATGCCCTAATCTTACCGGTACATGTTGCATTTAGGAAGGTCGAAGTTAGTTATTGAGTCATTATCTGTTGCCCACTGTAACGTCAGTGGCGCATGCAGTTTGCGAGGAGAACATTCATCGGGGCTGGACTCCTTAGTGTGGAAACTTGATTTTCTAATGGGGTTAAAACCCACGGAGTTCTAGTTTCTTCAGATCACACTGCTGCTGACTTCTTCCAAAACTTAGTGAACCCCACTCCTCGGCATTCAATATTCGGCAGTTTTTGGGATTATAGCATGTTTATATATATAAACTAAGTTTGAAATCACCAAGACTATGCTAGTGAGACATGATTTCAATGCAACAGCTAGACATGATTCACACTTTGACGTACACATTGTAAGGATTGTTTTACATGCTTTTTCCTCCAGCTATTATCTGATTAAATTGGCCGAAATTTTGTAAGTGGCCTGTCGAAAGGACATTAATCTTATTTCAGAAAAATAAACAAAATCGAAATTTCAAGAAAGCCTACTAAGCCGGAGTATTTCACGAAGTCACCCATTTGAAACAAAATCAGAGATCTGCTTGTGGAGTTTGGAGGCGACACTCTAAAATTGTTACTTTGGTGTCCAATTCTTGTCTGCCACTGAAAGTGAGGTTGATGTACGTCACTTATTTATCGCTTATGGAAAGCGAATAAAGACCTTGGATTATAGAAGTAAGAAAATCGGCTTAAGAAAACAAATATAAAAGAAACTATGCACTAATGCTGGAATAAGAAGTTTGGTTCGTTTTCCTTTACCGCTAAGGTTAGTGGATGCACAAGCGCTGTACTGTTTGCGGTAGGAAACCGCTGAGCAGTCCTATTTCTATGGAAGTGACTAGAACCGCATTCAGTGTAGGGGATCATTGTCGATAAAAGCGAATTTGCGAGTTCAAGGAAGCAGTTCAGAAATAGAAGATGCGATCGTTAGAACAAGAATTTTATTTTTCTGATGTTTTCGATTCCGTTAAGAATTATTAATCATAGGTAGCCGTAGAATAGTGTGAGACATACAGAAATTGCGCGGTATTATAGTTCTTAGCAGCCAACCGCATGCGTACTATAATTATTGGCTCCTGGAACCGCCGCTTGGGATCGTAATTTGTGCGGTGACGACTTGGCAGTTAGCTTTCGAGCCATTAATCGCCGCAATTTTCTTGTCCTTAGTTGGATGCAGACTTGATACTTGAGCTTAATTTATATTCACTATCGTTTGATTTATTCCTTGGCCCGGCCCTTCCCACGTGACTGATTCTCCTGCTCAGAAAATTCCTAAGTACGGAATATGGGTACAGCAATTCGTGGCGTTTGTTGGTGGATTGTGACCAAAGAACCTTTACTCGAGCAGCATGCAGCTCACGCGGTTGTGAACGCTTGCGAGGATTTACGAGAAAACAGTTACTACAATGATCTTCTGGTCATTACATTAAAGTCCTTAATTTTCGCAATTTCATTCTAAGATGTTGACTTTAATTTAGCACACTGATGCTGTCTGTAGAATCTGACTTCGCTCGTACGCTGCCCACGTGACACAATTCCCTGCTCATACGAAGCGTCATTACTGAAGTTCACTGCTTTCCTTGATTGGTTGCTGGAAAGACTTGAGCAACTCACAGCTGAAGCAGTCGCCCTCTCTTGTCAGAATGTTTCGTTACGTTAAACTCGGGTGGAGGGTGGTAGTAGAATTTCCCTGTGAGAACTGTGGCTTTGGGAACTGGCGCCATCTTGACTACCAGGGTGGTCGAACACTGTTCTTGTCCAAACTGCCGGGCGACCAGTATACCAATAACCAACGTCGGTTTTAAACCCGCGATGTGGGTGATTGAGAAATCACTTACAGTCATCTGAAAAGAAAGCAAGCAAAACGTAAAACCCGGCCGTCGTCCGGTGGCATAGCAACGTTGTCCTACGTACACCGCCACATCTCGGTGGTAGATTAGTGTTCAAATACGAAAACTTTTTTACAAGACTTTTTAAAATTAGTTTT